ATTTTCATATTTTTAGATGAAAAGTGGAGTCACAATGTTTGCAGTGATTCTGCACAAACCGGCCAATAAGCTAAGAGAGTGCATCATCCCCTGGTGTTCAGTACTAATGTGTAGTTAGATATATTTAGTGTAACATCATAGTCACTCATTTATTAAGAATGCTTTTAAAAGTCTCCTGATATAATCTGAAAGCTAGTGTAGACGCTGTCTGTGAGGAGCGTGCTTACCTGTCTGTGACCTGCTGTTCACATGTTAGATCAGTGTTACTCACTCCTTTATTCCTCTCTTTGAATGCTGCTCACTTTAACTTCCATGCCAGTAACCCAGTGATTTCTACTCCATGTTTGTATTGAGAAATATTCACAGTTATTTTTGTAAGCGCGTGCGTGTGTGTGTGTGTGTGTGTGTGTGTGTAGACTTGTCTGATTGCTGTCTCAGCATGGGAGACTGATGCACTGACTGTGAAGTTTGGGATTAGGAGAGTTTTTTGGCATCCTGCTAAAAGCACATTGGAATAACACAATTCAGGTTAATCTGTGAAATAAGAGGTGAATTTAGCTCAAATTGATTCTGCCAAGTAGGACACATTCCTGGATCGACAGCCAACTTCCAAGATTCTTCAATTCTTCAATTGTGCTCGGCTAAAAGTTCTGATCAGATATCAGCGCAGGTGAACAAAGGTAAACAAACAAAACTCTTCCCTGATTTAAACACAAAGGTAAAATAAATCCTATAAAAAACATCTCAATCCAAATTCAGGTTTTACGATAATTTGCATATTTTTCCTTAGTCATTTATTATGTATTCTGCATCTTTAATGGTGGCTAGGTGGGTTGCAATGTTTAATTTAAAGGTAACATATTGTGCAAAATACACTTCACCATGTTTCTCTAACTCTCATATGTGTCTCTAGTCTGTCTACAAACCCCCCAATGATCAAAAAGTCCATCCTCTCCATCTTTTGCCTGCTCCACTTTTCTAAAAATGTGTGCTCAAACAGGCTGTTTGGAGATTTTCCCTTTGTGACATCACAAAGGGCAGTAACCCCTCCCCCAGGTGGGTGACACTCCCACAGCTAGGTGTTTGATCTGCAGTGAGAGTAGTTGCCAGTGTAGTTTTTCCAGGAAATGACTTATCACGTAAACTAATGAAGTGTATGTCTAGTAATTGATTTGATTTTCTTCATTTGTACCAAATTCATTTTAGAAGCTTAGCGAAGCACAGCAGGATTCATAAGAGAGGGCTGTGATTGGTTTAATTGCAATGCAGGATTTTGATGCAGAAGCACATTCTGTTTGGATGAACGACATCCTGAGGTCACCTCAAGGAAGTGTGAGTCGGCATGGTTTCATCAATATTAGAATATTAGAGTATGTCATTGCAATAAATCCATAGATTGAACGCAGTTAAACTAAAACGCTGACACACAGCATTCTACAGATAGTGTACAACGATGAAAACATGACAGTCCTGCATGGTCTTTTTAAAACTCATCCACTGCAGGAGTCATGTTCTTGTCGTCAGACATCCAAGACATGCTCTAAAATACTGCATAATATCACCTATTAGAGACAATAATAGGGTGTAAAATGCAGGAAAGCAACTGATTTAAAAAAGCTGAAAGTGATGAGTGAATAATGACAAGCCGGAGGTCAAGAAGCTCCTCAAAGCCAAACATTCACAGTGTCTTTACCTCATATGCTTCTGAACTGTAAAACCTTTAAACATTCATAACTCCTACTTCAAGCTTTGGACTACACAAACTGTACCTGCAGCTGCGACATTGCTCCTGTGAGTATTTCTGCCTGAATGACGATGTACAGAAACATAATAAACGGACACTTAAATGAAACTTTTTGTTTCATGCTGATTTCTTTTACTTAAACAAGCTCAAGTTGAAATGATGAGGACAGTTGAAGTTTTCTGACTAAAGAATTGTATATATTATGTTCTTGTAGGTTTGTTTGAAGTGCTCTTTAGATTTGACAGCCGTGTGACGAGCCCTTCATACACACACTCTCTCTCTCTGTCTGTAGTGAGCACCTGGCAGGTTGCCATGTCAGGTGGGAACAAAAGGGAAGTGTTTGGGAGATCCCTTTTCCCTGCACTACGTTTTATCTCACCCTGCCAGAACATCCTGTCCATGCAGCCAACCAGCCTGCCTACTCTCAGAGTGCGTGACAAACTGAGATAAAAACTTCTGTAGATGATTACTGATACAGCTCTGTTCTCCTTACAATTAAAATCAAAATTAAATCTGGAGACTAAATAGTTCCAAGGAAGTCATGGGCAGAAGCGCTGTAATCTTCAGGAATCAGCAGAGGAAGTTTGAGCATCCTCTTTATTGCAAATAAAGGAGTCAAAGTAATCAACAAATACGACCTAAAAAGGACAAAAAAAAGGCTGACATTGTCATGGTTTATGTCCCAGACTCAGAGGGATAATGACTCAAGTTATAACAGCAGACACTATCAGCCTCCAGGGAGTGATTGCTTTTGTTATGTTTATCTTCTTACATTACAGGAAGCTGCAGGAGGAAGCAAGTATTCCTGTCTTAATCTGCAACATGCAACACTAAGAAAACGAGAATATCTGCTTGTAAAGTGGAGGATTATCGGAGTAATGTCATATCTTGCACAGTTAAGCATGTGCCCTGTATGAGGAGAAAGGCAGTGGTGGGATATGCCTGCTGAGAAAGATGAGATACCACATGCAGTAGTTGTAAGACTCATTCTACGTCTCTACAGCTTAGACCTGTCAGGACGGCATTAACAGATCAGCATAAATGTCTCTGGCTGATTATAAAACATGTACATGTGTACAGCTCGAACACACAGCAGGTTGTGTAACAGAGAGAGACATACCTGAGCTCAGGCTCTGAATGGAGGGACACTCACAGATCTGGGTGAATGTTGGCTGATGGTACAGATGTGATGTTCTCAGAGAAGGTCACTGACTGATAGGAGCTCAGGAATGAAAGGAACAATAGCTCTGAGATCTCAGTTGAATCTGAAGATACATCGAGACCAGGTCAAGTCTGCTCTGTGCAAAGGAGGCCGAGTTCAGGTGAGAACAGAACAGAATAAGAAAGACGAAAGGAAATCAGTAATTTACCCTCTAAAATCAGTTTATATATAACATTTAAACATCACCACTTGGTTTGCATAACACACAGACGTAAGATGTTCTCATTTTGGAGGCATTATATACGCAGACGACTGAGCGATGTCTTCCATCCTGGTCTCAGTGACTTCATCCACTTTTGAAGCTCAGTGATGGCGGTTGCCGTATTGAAAATGCTCTCAACCTCACCTTCAGTAGTTACAGGCAAAGAGGATGTGTTGAGGCGGGCCTTAAGCCTCCTGGCACACAGCTTCAACGCATCTGCTTGAAGTCAAATAAGCCATGCCCCTAATTATGCATAACTCTCACCCTTCATTAAAAAACAAAACAGATGAATAACAAGTATCCCCTGTACAGAGAGTGCTGATAAAAACATGAACTATGGGGCAGCTGAGGCTCAGCAGTTCAGTCGGTCGTCCCTCAAATGGAAGGTCAGGGGTTCGAACCCCAGCTTCTGCTGCTTTTTCATCTTTAAATAATGATTTGAAGAGCTGTGTTTGGATATTTCACTTTAAGAAAATGTACAAGGAGAGAATTATTAGACTGTATGAAGTTAGCAGTAAAGTGTGTTTTGTGTGTTTTCCCTCCTAATTTATGTGGACGTGAAGTCAAAGATTCTAAATTGTACGATTTGTTTTATGTTGCCATGGTACGGTAATTGGACAGACCAGATATTTTTTGTTTTCTTTTTGAGTAAGGGGCGGGAAAAATATGATTTATTCTTCTCCCTGCTCCTTTCCGAACATGGATTGGGATAAAATTTTGAAAAAAGGACGTTCACAGAAAATGTTGTGTGTTATGACATGTGCCAAAAAGGAAATGAAAACTCTTGGGCAAGACACTCAACCCCAAGTTGCTCCTTCTGCTTCATTGGCGGTGTATGAATGTGTATGAATGGAGTTAATACTGACAGTCCCTTTACATAGCAGCCCAAAAATAGGTGTGAAAGGGTATTTTGGTTGTCAAAACGGGAATTTTAACATAGGTGTGTATGTAACTACCAGGGATTTTAGAGCCAGTCCCGAGTGGACACTTAAGGAATTGCACTTTTTTGCACTCCTGCATAGTCTTCATTTTGGAACACCATCAGTTGCCGCTTGTAGCGAACATGTAATTCATGGGTAGCCACACCCCAAAAAGCACAACTTGTCCTTGTCATCAGTCTATCTCTAAATGGATCCATAATGTACTAATTGAAAATTGGGCTGTATTGATACAGACCTGAAAAGATTGGGACCATAAAGTATTTAGGAAAACATCTATTTGTACAAGTATTTTCCGGAAACAGGCTCCAAGGAATAAGGTTGGGAACCACTGGTCTTCTGTAAGCATCTGGTTTACTAAGAGATTGGAAACAGTGAGATCAGCTTAGATTCAAATTTAACTTCTAATGAATTAATTTGTTAAATATATTTAACAAAACCTGCAATTTGTCAGATTTCTGGCCAGCAGGAATTACATCCATTCATTACTCCCTTACATCCATTCAATCCCCGTTCAAAGTTGTTTTTATTCACTGCCTCTGAAAAGGTTAAACAAATAGAAAGTTTTATATATTTCAACAAAAATAGTTGTCCTCTACCTCTTATCCTAATCAGTGTAGCTAAGGTGGCCTTCGTCGCCACTAGTTCTTTGCCTTCAGCTTGGTGTTTCAGGGCCTTAACATGCAGCTGTACCTTTGCTAGGGACGTCCACAAGATGTTTTATGTCTTCTCAAGCTACTCTGCAAAACAAAACATACAAACTAGAGATCAGACAGGGATAGCCTGGTAAAAAGTAAAAGACTGAGGAGTCATTAAAACTGTCAGAGAATCTACCTGTCTGGACTTTTCAAGAGAGAAAGTCTGGAAGCCTTTGAATTCTTATGAAACACGGAGTCCTGTCTTTTGAGCCAGCATGTACAGATTAAAAGATTAGATGCAATCGTGCAGGAACATACTATACGATGCCTGTGCATAAATATAAAACATCCAAAGTCCCCTTCATGTTAAAGGAAAAAAAGCTGTCGTTGTGTGTGAGCCTGAGCTTCAGAGCACACAGGAGGGTTATAAAATCTGTTTTCATGGCTGTGTAAACAAACACCTGTGCTCATTACGGAGGCTCTCATTTATAGTGGATCTGGCATGGAGAGAAATGCGGAGACATGACTCGACTGGAGGCAGGTTGGCCTGAATCAGACGCGGAAACAAATTCTCTGCTTTGGCACAAAATGTTCAGTGTGGGGGAAAAACCTCGACAACCGCTGATCGTCATGCAGGAGCCTGCTTGATAAATATTTGCTGATTAAGATCTATATATTTTATAACAATTTTTTTTAATAGTAAGTTACAGCTTATATAAAGTAATTGCAGAGGCTATTCCTCATAAACAGCTATCAAACTAACGAGCACACAAACAAGACAAATGACAAACTGTTTCACAGATTTAATGATAGAGTCCTGTACCATTCATCATTCAGTGCACACCGCCTGTCATAAACCATACAGTACCGTCTCTTTGTAGTGCGTCAGGTGTGATATAACTTTGAGGGTTATTGAACTTACTTTGGCTTGTTTGAATCAAATCAAAAACATTCGTTATGCTGGAAGACAAATCTGTAAAGTGACAAATAAGAAGTTCTTGTAGTTTTTACCCATTTTTAACAATAAAAATTAAGTTAAAGGATCTAAATCAAAAAGAAATCCCAAGAGTAAAGAAGCTAAAATCTCACTTTTCATACAACAAGATTTAACTAGATTCAGTGAACACAACTTGAACATAATCAGGAATGCATTTGAATAAAATGAATTATTTTGAGCATTATTTTTTTTAAGTATGATGAGATCATATTTAAAGGACACATGTGATATTGTACACATAAATAGAGCAGAAATCATTTATCCTGTGTAAATGTCTCTCTGAGTCATGACTGTCTACAATGAGTGAGAAGCTCGAGTCCAGTCAGCTGTGTTGTTGTCAGAGCCGTGTTTACATCATGTTTATATGGATGGGACGTCCTTGTGTATAAAGCTGTTTTAGTCAAGGACTAGAGAAAAGAAGAAGAACATACTCACTGCTTATTTGGATGTCATGTAAGTGTATTTAGATTACAGTCATTCTGTGACATATAACATATAGCTTAACCAAAGTGTGCTAACATTAGCCTGCTAACACAACAACCCAGCTCGAGACAAGGACAATTTTGTCTGCAGCTTGCGCTGAATGGTGCTTAATTATGTTGCGTTCTAATTGATAACTCCTTCATGTGAACACGAGTGGAGAGAGGTTGGAGGTGTGTGAGAGCGGAGGCTTCAGTATAGCGGCGGTTACCAAGGTGTGACCAAACAGCAGTTTGTTTTGGTTTCATGCTGGTGCTAAAGGGCGACATCTACTGAATCCAAAAAGCCGTATATTCTTCCTTTAAGATGCATTACTGTTGGAATGTAGAATATGAGACTTTAACATGATCTGCAGCCTCTGCTTTAAACTCATCATTGTTTTACTGCAGAGCGATCGGCTTAACTCTCCATGACACAGAGAAATGATGACATGATATTTGTTCTTTGGAGTAATAAGGAAGTCCAATCATGATTTTTTTACTAGAAGAGTTTAGCCCCCATGGTCTCAATCTTTTTGTTTTGAAACTCCAGTAAATCTTGAATTAAACCTGATCAGGTATAACAGTTGATATACACACAGCGTACCAGAAGCTTTCTTTGCACATTACAGTTTTTAAAGGTATCTTTAACAGTTTGATTGGTGTGACCCTGGAAAAAGTCCTCATGATACATGTAATGTTTGTAGTAATACACCTCTTAATAAAACTGACTTTAAATTTCACAGATAAAAAAACAATTAAAGACGCAAAATTGTGAGAGTCAGAGCTCGATATAAATCTCTAAAAATGTATTGCCGTTTTCGAACATAAAACCTGGCATCCCGTGGATACACTTCAGTATCAGCACTGCAATTACGACTCCACGCCGACTGTTTCCTGCCAGCCCTCGAGTAAAAGTAAAGTGAGTGTATCCTGCAAACGACACACGACCGGTGCGATCGTCATGCACAGAAGGAAGCTGCCATGTCTGTTCTGCTCCATTTTACCGTTGACACGCAGCAGTGATTTAAACTGGCAAAACTGTCATTAAAGGGTCAGGCTGTCGCTTCGTCCACCATCTTTGATTGATGAAGATCTTTTTTAAATCATGTCAACTGAGAGGGAAAATCTCCCGCTGCGAAGGACATGTGTCAAAGACCATCTCGGGTCAGGCTGTCCTGAAGTATTCTAGCTTTTGTAAATGTAGTCAGGGAGCGCTGACGTTGTTCTGACTGAAGGCAAGGTGAAGAGGTCGCTCTGAGGTCAGGGCATTCTTACATCCGTGTTTGGGTGCACCATTGTCTGATGATATTTTTTGTTATTGCCTCTTAAATGTTTCTCTGGAGACGTAACAAAAAAAAGAAAAAAGGAAACAGGACGGAAGAGGAAGAACAGAGAGTCCTGTGGGTCACCTTAAGAGTGTCACGTTTTTGTTTTCACGGTATCCTGGAGACACACTTTAGTGTCAGCACAGCCACCTGAGAGGCTGTCTGCTACACGCTGCTGCTGCTGCACACAGCCACTGAGAATATACAAACCTGCTAGATATAGAAGCTACGATCAGAAGTTGTTTACTATAACCTATGATTATTCCAGTTTCACTTACTTGATTAGATTAGAGAGGGAAAACCTATTAGCTATCCGATTTTATACAACCAGACAAGAAAGGTTTGTTTTTAAAATATCAAAAAGAAAAACAGAAAAAAAAGAAAACAAGTTCTGATTTAAAACCACAGAGGACGGGTCTGAATGTGGTAACATCAACACTCACAGCACCCTCCACTCACAGAGTGAATCATCATGATGGCTTCTGAATAAACACTACAAACAAATGCTCACACACATTCATGCTATCAGCAGCATATGGAAAATACGTCGCCTGCTGCTGAGGTCACACTCCCAAAGCCGGGCAGAGGACATCCAGCTCCTTTTGTGCCTCTTCATTCTGAGGAACAAAAAACATTTTCATATGAAAATCCTTACTGAGAAAGAGAGCGAGTCAGATATGAGTGCAGTAATGGATCAGGACAGGGAGAAGGTCGAACCTCTTTGGACTCAGCTTTCATTGAACTTGCAGCTTCACACATCTTCCTCGCTCTCTCCCTCTGCCCGAGGTCTTTGTAGCACTGTCAAACACAAGGACAAACAACAGTCAGAGTACTGCAACAACAGCACAGCGTGGTCTCAAAACATGTGGTACTGACCTTTGCAAGAAACACAAAGTTTAATTTGGAATATCCCGGATGGATCTCCTCGACCTGAGTAAAAAACAGACTTTATTTCAGCTTTAAAAGACATTTATTGTGGTTAGTGTGCGGCCTTGAGTCTTGTAGGCGGGTGGCCCAGGTTTGAATTCGACCTGTGGCTCCATTCGTGCATGTCTTTCCTCACACTTTCTATTTTTTTGGGGGGCTTTTATGCCTTTATTTTGAGACAGGACAGCGGATAGTCAGAAATCAGGGAGAGAGAGAGTGGGGAATGACATGCAGGAAAGGAGCCACAGGTCGAATTCGAACCTGGGCTGTCCGCTTGGAGGACTACAGCCTCTGTACATGGGGCGCACACACTAACCACTAGGCTATTGCGCCCCCTCTCTCCACGATTTCTGACTCTACCCACTGTCCTATCTCTACAATCACACAAACATTTATTGTGTTGAAGCAAACTCATGATGGAAGTTGCCATGGTAACTTAGCGACTAGTACAAATTGAAATGCCTGACATATGACAATCACATCCACATCTCAAAGGTTTTAATTTAGAAAACATTTTTATTACTGCATCACCATCCCTGAAAGGTTGTATTGCATGGTAAGGCTAGAGAGGGGGGGGGCTTTCTGACTGGTTACACGGCCCTAGTATACGTATCTAATGGCTAGATAAACAAGCGTTAAAGCCTGGAGACCCACTCAAACACAGTTTTTATGACTGGGGTGACCTGTATAATGCTGGAGGACTTGTGTAACTACTGATTTTTAACAGCTTGAAATGCCAGGGACCCGCCGGTTGGAGGCTCGGGATCTGTAGGTCAGAGGCCTCTGGACGGTATAATAACTGATTCAAGGAACTCAAGGATTGTTCAAAAACTGGTTAGAATCTGGGGGTCCTGTATTTCTGCTGGTTGGAGGCCAGCCATCCTGTGCAAACAAGAATTAGAAGCTGGGGACCTGTATAATACCTGGTTCAAGGCAAAGGAACCTGTATAAACACTGATAAGACATGAGGGAACCAGTGACCCGTTAGACGCTGGAGACCAGTACAGCCATTGGTTTGTGGCGGGGGTGACCTACAGAACCATTGCTGAGAGGACCAGTGCCTTTACTACTGGTTAAAGAGGCATTACCTGATCCTGATCACCTGATAACCTGGATGTATTTGTTACAGCTACACAGCCGCCCTCCCCCAGGTCACCAGCAACAAGTTGTAACATGGACCACTTCAATCAAAGTAGACGGATGACAAACATAAGACATGAAGAAAGGGCATGCACAGAAACACTGGCCAGAAGAGACATTCATTCCTGCGCTATACAAACATGTGGATTGTGGAATCACAGATTAAGCCTCTCCAAATATTGAGCGTTTGCTCTTTGAAAACGGGGAACATGAGCGACCTGCAGACATGTTGCAAGTGAGCGCTAGACAAACATGTTTTATTAATCAGGGCAGCTCAGGAGAGAGTATGCCATCATTTTAACAACAGGATCGTAAAAACACGAATGATCCATGGGATATTTCACCTTACTTTCACTTACTTAAGTTCACCGGACACACACACACACACTGAGTGAAAGCATTTCTAAAGGTGCAATTTTAGAAGCCATTAGCTAACGTCTGAAACAACAACACAGTCTCTGTGAGTGATGGCCAACTTTTCAGAGCTTCAGAGAGAAGCCAGCAGCTAGCAATAAATGACTTCTTGCAAAGAGTAATTTCTTCTTTGTATTGCTTTTGTTTACAGTCCAACTAAGACAAGTCTCATGTCTACTTGGACTGTTCAACTACAAACAGTCAAAGCCTGGAGAAACACGAGTGGAGGATACAACTTGGTCTACAAAAAAGACCAGAACAACAAACAGAAGTTCCACTATCAACATCTGGCCCCCGCCTACAGATTCTTAATGTGTATGCAGAACTTGTTGTAGGTATTACTAAGGGTGTCAGTGTACTTTTTTTATTTCTTACTTGTTGGATTGTCAGGATCTGAGACCCCCTTCCTTCACAGATAAACACAGTCCCCCAATGCAAGCTGAACTTTTCACTTGAACCAACGTTTGAATCATGATTCTTCGGGTTGTGTGAGTGATGTAATGGCGTCATCTTCTTTTTTTTCCTTCATGTTTTTTATGCAGATCTTCTTGTGCAATATGTTGTTTGTGGTTTACATCTGTAAGTGCTTCTTTGTTTACATGTTGTTTGTTTCTAATGCCTTGTATATTTTATCGTATCTTCACAGGCAAGGCACATTTTTTTTGTATGGCACTTTTCAGCAACAAGGTAATTAAAAGCATCACAACAAAGGAGAAAAGAAACACAATCAAAGAGGAACATTTTGTATCATATTGTATCCAGTTTTTTTGGCTGTTTTTGCCTTCATTATTTAGGACAGCTGAAGAGCGACAGGAAATGTTGGGAATGGAGAGTGGGGGATGACATGGAGTAGGGCCGAGGTCAGATCCAAACCCACTGCCAAAAAACTCAGTTACTGTCTAAAACCAAAAGTCCCCCACCCTAACCTTCATCTCTGCAGTGTATTTTTCTGTGTGTGAAGGAGAGAAAATATGCAGGATTTCATCTGAGTCCTCACAGCTACTTTGATCACTCGTTAAAGGTAGAATGGTGGGTCTCACCTCCTTCTCCCTTTGATTTCAGGCTTTTATGGTCCTTTGAATGTGGTGTGAAACCACTAGAAACACTATTAATTCAGACATTTACGACACGTTGTTAGAACTACTTTGTTTTAGCATACCTGAGGTGTGAAACATGTAAACACAGTGCTCCACGTAATGATTGAATCAAAGTACCTTTAGAAAGTTCTTCAGGGCATCTTCAATGGTAGCACTTGGGGGCTCTCCAAATAATGTTGCAGCCACTTTCCTCTCAATCCATGATAACTGAGCCACCTGCATAATAAACACCTCAAGTTAAATAACAAATCTGCATATTACTTAACATGTGGTTGAAAAGCAGTAACACATTTGTCTCTTTTTAAAGTATTAAGGCAGTTTCACACTCTTCATTATGTGTAGTTACATCACTGCGACAACTCTTTATCCACTAAAGCAATCAAACGAAGCGACATTTCCCCTGTTTGAAAAAATCTTAGAAAGGGATCAACAATCTTAAGCTTCTTAAAGATGAAACAAATACTTCAAGTTGCAGTTCAACTGTCAGTACTTTTATATATCAGCGTGTCCACAGACTAATGATTTCTGGATTAGTACAGCAGTTGCTGGTTCAAGCCACAATGCTGTGTTTAGGAACCAAATGAATTACTTGCTTTATATCAACCAATGGACCAATAGCATCTATTGGTCTAAACACACTTTTATCGACCAGTCTGTCCTGATATTATTTCATTATGAATGCATCAGAAAAAGGTTGGAGTTTCATGGCGGTTACAATTAACATCTTCAACACTATAGTTTAGAGAAAGACTAACTAGGAATACAGAGGAGAAATCTTTCCTGCATATTATCCCATATGCTCTTTTGTAAAGCATCTTGAGAGAACACTTTTGATTGGTTGATTGGTTTGATTGATAACTATAGCAATGAGACTTCATCATAAAAGTTTTACAAGCACATGGTTGCATAATTGTATAAAACTGTATAAACCATGGACAAAGTGTCAGTCAACCATTGGTTTCTGAAAAGGGGTTTTGAAGCAAAATGATGGCGGTCGCCATATTGGAGAAGTTATCTCCACATTACTTTCAGCCAATCTAGTATCAGCTACACTGACTTCACGTTTAAGTCAAATTAGCTGTGCCCAAAATCGTACAAATTTATGCTCAATTTTTAGCCTTAATGTACTCAAAATAGATAAGTTATATAACAACTTAAACAATCAAAAAAGAAATGAACTACAGAGAACAAAACTGTTTTGTTTTTGAAGCAGGCTGTTAATATATTTATCCCTGTGGTGAAAATGAGCGTAATAATTTTTTATAACAGACACTTTTGCAAATAACTTTTTCATAAAATTTTCATCACAAGAGGTAGCAGCTTGAAAGTGAGTTGTCTGTTAGGGATAATACCAACAGCATCATTGCTATGATTTTGAATGTATCAGAACAACCAGCAGGAACACTATCCCTCTCTGTTTGTGCATTTACACTGGCTAGCATCAAAGAGGAGCTAACCAGATACATGTAACCTCTTATTCTTAGTCTGCAGTTACCTTGACACTTTGGTCCTCTGAAGTGTGACTATGTCATTTAAATGTATTTAGTTGGCATTGGACTGGCTAGTAGCAGCTAACTAGCTACCAAAATGTATTCAATCATTCATGTGTTACAAACAAGGCTACCATGGCAGGAAGGAATGAATCCTAAATGTAGAGTGAATAGATTTTTTCTGGCCGTTTAAAACCAGAATTTATCTCAGCCTGTTCTCATCTCAACTCATTGTTTGTTTGTCAATTTTAGGGGCAGTCCTACTATGTTTAACTTTCTTAAATTCCCCTAAGTTCTTGCTAAGGCGTGCTGGTGCTATGATATATATATATATATATATATATATATATATATATATATGCAAAGGGTTTTCCACCTGTACAAAAAATGTAAAAGAATGTAAATGGCCAACAGGGTGTCTCATGCACAGCCTATACTTCCTCAGGTGTACACGGTTGCAGGAACATACTTTTCAGGCACACTGAAAATATCTTTAGTGTATTTTATTGTGAGATAATAACTGGTTTTGCCTGTTCCAGACAAACCTGAGGACACTACAGGCCAAACGCGTTATTCGCTCCCAATAAAATACAGTTATTGGGATTTAGTTATTTTCAGTGTGCCACAGAGTTTTGTAAAATAAAAAAATACTTAATGGGTATTAATTTCCTAAAAAATCTATACATTGTTCTACTTGTGTTCCAGAAAGACACATGCTCCTGACTATGAGTGTCCCTGTATATTCATGACCACAGGTAGCCTGCACACGGAGACTTTCCAGAGGAGATGATTATGGCCAGGAGAGTCTGGGTCAAACATGTAATGTTCCTGCCTCGCACCATTCATCAAAGCAGCATCTAATTGCAGGTGTAGCATTGCTTTGGCGTCATTGCAGAAACAGAACCGCTGGCTGAATACAAACAGTAGATCATTGTTAGACATGAACGCACCACAGACAGCCCATAAAAACTCAATCCCTGGAAAGATCAGGTGTTACTGCTGCACTAAATGTGCACAGTCTCTGACTTCTCCTCTGCTGCCAGCGTAGGTGAGTGTTATAAAACTTAATCTGAGCACTTTCTGTAATAGCTTCCTTCCTTTCTTACAAGGACTCCGGTTCACAAAAAAACTCCAGATATGATGGAGTACGTTTCTAAAAAGGCACACTTTTCTTTTCAAAAACACCAGTCGTGATCAATCCAGCCATGCACTGCGGGAGCGTGAACCCGACAGAAACAGGATGAAAATATCTGCCTGTCCCGATCTGATTTAAAGCTAACAATGGCTGGTGTTAACCTCCCGTTGCGACTTCTGCGAATATCACAGGGGGAAAAACAAACCTTGGGGAAAGCTAAACAGTAGGAATGAATGAGAGGAAACTGTGGGTGGGTTAGCAGACGTGTCAGCCTCCATAAATGTACTGTTTGTCTATGCAGGGTGAGATTGTAGAGATATCACATACGGCGTAGCACCAGCGGCCCAGCAGGTAGTAGGACAGGGGGTCCTGTGGCTTCAGCTCGATTGCTTTATCCAGATGATCCTGAGGCAGACAGACAGACAGGGAGAAGATTTTCACTGTTGATTCATGACACGGCTGCTGTTTCCCCTGCCTTCTGTTCTGACCTGATCTGTCCTGCTTCACCAACCCACAACTATTTCACAAACACCTCTCACACACGCAATCTCACCCAGCGACCACACACTTGCGGCTGTCACACACACACACACGCCCTCGTTCTTTTCCATTCTCCCTCGCACTGATTCAGGTTTTTTTTTTCTTTCATATATTCCCACTCCGGCAGTCTATCTCTGTCTCTTTCACCTGTCGGAAGCTTTGCAGGTACACAGTGTTTGGGGGGGAGCCGCTGACAGAAGATGAAATAATACGTGCTGTTGTTCCACTCTCTACCTTATGCAACTGATGGGCTTGTAGGAGTGGTTTAGAGGCTTAAGTGATATGTGGGGCTTGAAGTGTTCATGGGAAAAGCTCTGAATACTGTACGTAAATATATACGCAGGATACACACAATGCAAGGAGCCACACATTTTAGAAATGTTCCCAGACACAACAAGCACTTACCTTAAAGATGTAGCCGTTCTTGATCTTGTTCTGCACTGTGTCGTATTCGGCCATGATCCCACACATGATGGCATACCTGTGAACACACAATATCGTGTTAATCAGAAGTCTACAACTAACACTTCTTGACCAACCCTTTATAGATTTTAATTGGTTTTGTGCAGAAATAAAAAAAGAGTTAAGTTATTAAAAGGGAATATTGTTTAAATCTGACTTCACGTTGCCCAAAATGAAAACGTTTTCTTGTTCCCTGCTGTCGCGTGACAAACTCTATAACTAGCTGTTTACATCTTTTTTTCAAGAGTACATCTGAAAAAAATATCCAAGTTGAAACTGGTCAGAAAAGCTAATAAATGAAAAAAGAAAGAAACCAAAAAATATAAATTGCGATATTTTATAAACAGTAAATGTGATCAACCACAGCCATGGTTCTTTAAATGTGACACAGACAGAGTGGCATGGAGTACACTTTGTAGTTTTCCAAGATTTCTAAATGTGACTGCAGAGTTGTTGAGTGTCTCACTGTTAGGAGATATCGTGAATGCTCTGGAAAGCCGCCCGGTTCTCTTTTTCATGCTGTCACTGCAGTTAGCTTACCAAAAATATGGCTAATTGAGGATGCAATACTTGCTGTGTTTGTTTTTTGTCTTTGCAATGTTTTCTGCAAAATTGAACACCTCACCATTGACGCCTTAGTGTGCCTCCGCCCTTGACGTGTTTTAGATAGTGTTTTTCCTCATTGAGAGTGAAAATGTTGATTTCCATAGAAAAAATGATTTACAACTCTAGCTCAAGCTGTTACAATTAACAAATATGTTCTCAGCTTGGGTTTAATTCAAACAGCCAACCTCCAGTGTTGAAAAATGAAGCCAATGCGAAATTGCAACATCCTGCAGTTCCTCGACTGTCCGCTGGAGGCTGGCTTTAGGAACACCGGAAGTCACAGATGACTGGCAAAAAAGCTGTTTTTACAGCATAAATAAACATGTTTACAGCCTGGTAAAAAAAACAAAATAGGTCTGAGTAGTTATTGTCGTCATGGGCACACACTGTACGGGGGGTGAATTTATTTAAACCACTCCCATTTGATTTTGAGAATGATACGTGTTATCCATAGTTAGGCGAGGCTGACATGATTGACAGGTGGAAGCGATGTAACGGTTCATCAAGAGGCTTAAAACCCGCCTCAGCTCCAGCTCTCAGCCTGTCGTTAGGTTGACTGAAAGTTAGGCTGAGACAGGATTTCCAACATGGCGGTTGCTGCTGATGAGCCTCCAGAGCCCCCTGCAGGAACAGATGTCTGACGTCACTCAGGCTTCGTCCATTAATATCTACGGTCTATGGTTTAATTCCTCAGAATAATTGTTACTTTTTAAATACTATTAATGTTTATGATAGCAGGCAAATGAAGGCTGTTTGACTGAGCATGTGGAGGAAACATTTTCTGAGTTGCAGAGCTAGAAGTTAAAGTTTGGCTGGTTATTTCGACTCTCCTCTTGTGAAGTTCCATGCAGGAGGGATGCAGAAACACACCACCTCTTCTCTGGGTCACTAACGATGAGAAACCAAAGGAGATCTGAAAAATACCAACACTCAACCTTCTTTATGGAGACTCCTCATTAGACAACATCAGCAGAGATAAGCTGCTTCACCTTCCTCCCTCACTCTCTAATTAAAACACTGACTCGGACCAGTGGGCAGGTGGAGGGGAAACAAAGAGCGGTTTCAGCTTTGGGATCTGTAAGTCAGCGTGACGCTGTGGGTTTGGAGAGGAGAGGGACGAGCTGATCAAAGACTTCTCACCGCAAGGCTGCTTTAATCCTGCTGGTACTCTGTCAAACATCACTGAGCGACATAAACACCTTTTCATACGAAGGATCGGCGGGTCCAAAGGTCCTCTGACAGTGTTGTCTGCTAATGGTAGATGGAATCTGGAAATGTGTGTGTACTGAGGTGTCTGATATGTGTGAATTGAGTTTTTAACAGAGCATGATTGGGCAGTGGGCTACTGTTCTCTGTAGAGACTGTCTGGAGTTAGATCAGGGGCAGCATGCCAACAGATTACAATACGAAGAAAACAAAAAACAAAAGAAGTGTTAGAAGTACAGAGCTGTGGCAAAATGCTAATTTTAACAACATGATAAGAGGTGGTTTCTGAATAAGACAGGTGCAGGTACAACAATCTTTGTCACAGGCATGTCGGACTAGACCCCAATGAGTCCTTCACACAAGCACAAAGCTCTCCGCGACTTCCTGAAGCTTTCTGGCTGAGCTCCATGTGTGAACGCAAACAGCTGATTTTTTCACTTGGACCTCACACACATTTTCCCTGCCAGTTGCCTGGTACATTTTCGGTGTGAAATCGGGTTGAGCTGATGTGAGAACCTAACAGGAAATTCACATCAAGCAAGTTGGAGAGAGTAATGGTTATATCCTGTGACTGGCACACGACAATGGACTGTATGCACACGGCTGGTGTTATCTCCATGCACGGAATGAAACTGCTTCACTGATTTTTACAGAAATTGTCATCCTAGTTGCTCTGCTGTCCAACATGGGAAAGCCTCCCTCTAAGAGTTGCACATTTGAACAAGCATGTCAGGAAGAATTTGGGTGCACCCTGACTGATATTTTCAGTATAGAGAGCATGTGTGAAAACGGCTCAAGTAATCTTCAAAAAATAAAAAAAGAGAACATGATTCAGGAGGTTGCAATTTGGTGAAGCATCATGCAAACATGTATCTTTGTACCAACTATCATCACTTCTACTTAGCGTGGGCGGTGAAGGAAATTAACAGCGATAGAGAAGCGCTAACCACATAATTCCTAAGTGCCCTGCATTTTCTCTGCAATGCAAACAAAGGCAGAAAAAATGTGTGTTACTGTAACCAAAAAGACGTGTTTATTTTCCTAAGGTAGCACAGGGTGCGGCCACGCTGCCGCTGGTTGGCGCCCGATGAGAGAAGAGCTCCACAACATCACAGGATCAGAGATGCTATCTGTCGGTGTGGTGCTGCCTGGCTTCCAATGAAAACACACTGCTGGATGTAAAGGCTTTGAGCAATCTATCAGCAGAGACTTAAACTGTACGAGGAGGAAAAGGAGCCAGGACACCGGTGGTTTGTGCTTCTCCACCACATCTTGATGCAGATTTGAAGAAGAAAAACAAGGATAACGGTCTGGTTGCATGACAGAATTTCAATGCAGGAAGAAACTATTAGCACCAGTGTGTCAAAACAGATCAGTGAGACTAAACTGAAATATCAACAACTTTCAGAAGGACAACCATAAAATCTGGTTCAGGTATTTCCTTCACGTTTTGCACCATTATTGGGTCAAACTGATAATAAAATTAGCCTCTGCTCCTGCAAACAGACGGGTAAATGCTGTTTCATACAACAATCCCAGATAGCTTTCTCTCTTAGTAGATACAAGCTGTTTTCAGATACTGTATCATAATTTCAGGAGGACTGCATAAAATACATTTAAATCTACCAATCTTGATTTGATGGAAACAAAGAGTGCTAGCTTCTGTCGAGTCCAGAAAATTACCCATAATGCTCTTTGAACTCAACAAGTCAATAGCCAAAGCAGCCTTTCTTCAGGAGCATTGCTAAACAGAACGTCATTCCTGTCTGTCTATAACATGCTGTAATGTGCTGATGTGATTAAATGTAATAAATCTTACTGGTGGTTAGATGAGGAGTGTGACTTGAGTAGCATACCAGAGGGAAACGGTAATCATGATCCAGATCCAGCATTGCAGGTGAGGGCTGTGGGAAGGATTTCTCAATATCCAGGCTGCCGCAAAAACATTTTAATTTTTTTTTTTATCACTCTGTGCCTGGTTAGTGGACCAGAATGCAACAGTGCTGGCTCATCTCTGCACCTGGACTGTGGGAGGATTTATTTGTGGTTATATAAAAGCTCATCTCCTGTCTCCTCCGTGGATATTTTCTTTTAAATAAACAACTGAAAGATCAGACTTTTTGTTTTCGGTGTTGTGTAACAGATCTTTTGTCATTGTGCGAAACAGCAGCAGGCCTTCAGTGGAGAGGCCGGGACAGGTAAGGCGAGCGAGCGTATAAGAAGCCAGGATGTGAAGGTGTAGGGAGGTGTGTCAAGCCTCAGGGGCCAACCAGCTCTTATTTTATCTTTCTTCTTCTCTGTTGAAATTCTATCTCCCCTTTGCCGTCTCAGGCAAGAAAAAAGGAACTATCAAGAGGAGGAGGAAGGTGTGCGTCAACAACACTTGACAGGGGAAGACCTGCATGAGGCCGATGGAACACTTAATTGCGCAAGGTTAGTCCGTGTTTGTTACTGCGGCTGAGTGAAATCCCCCACTCTACTGGGCAAAAACAAAAGGGCCTAAGTGTCCGCTGCTCGGTGGAAACAGCAGATTGATTTCAGCTCTCAAATCCAAACATAGAGAGCTCATTCAAAGGAGAGGGCCAGGAAGGGGTCCAGGCTAAAACTTGTACAGGAACAGGAGGAGGAACTCGAGGAATTCAAGAACAACCTGTGTGAGGCGGATCAGACTGATGGTGTTTTTTTCTCTGCATGGGATGTGGGATCTGTGGCTAGAGAGGAGCAGAGCACAGTGTTTCCACGGTGACAGTAACGATGTCGGCGGCAAACAGAGGCACGTGTTTGAAATTAAAGTTGTCTTTGTAAAGGTCAAAGTGACCCCGTCGTCCTCCCCCTCCTCTGACTGGCACTGCCACAGGCTCCCCGCTTAATCCGCGGGGCCTTTGTACCATCAGAGAGGCCCTATAGTCGGGGATTTACACGGGGGTGAATTCACACGCTGGGATCATTGGAAACGCACCTATAAACAAAGCCGGGGCGATACAAGAATGCAATCACATCTCACAGCCGTCAGCCTGCTGAGATTACACAAATAGGCTTCACACTCGCTGTCACGGAAGCACTCCACGTAACCCAGAGCGTGCGTACTGCGTGTTCACTCACACAAAAGCAAAAGCCCAACTTCACACATCAGCTCACTTTTGCTAGAAAGCTCTATGTTAGCCTTCTTAGGGTGCTTTTGAGGAATGAACCCTGAGAGCATACAGG